AAAAGGCTTTAAACACCTTTTGGGTCAATTAAAACACTGTCTTGGAACATACTTGAACACTCTTATTGAGAGTTTTATTTAATTACAATATTGAAAGAATTTAAACGTTTTTTTTAGGCCGATTCACTTGGCTTTCCCCCGCTCTGGCTTTGCTAGTTTTGAAAGTGGTTCGGCCTTATTTTATTTTATTTATTTTTACATGGTTAAGTCATAAAAATGGGGATTGATGATTTAATTAATTGGAAAATATAGAAAACCTTAAATCACCTTAAGCATAAGTTAAAGTGTAGGTTTTCTAGAACTTTAGGTGCACACCCTAGGTGAGATCCAATTCACCTAGCCCTCAATTTTTTTTCTTTTGTTTTACTTCTTTTTAAATGGTCAAGTCAAAAAAAAAAGGGGAATTTCTGATTTAATTACTTGAAAAACACTTAATTGGGGGTAAAACATCATTTTAGACACAAGTTAAAGTATAGGCTTCCTAGATTTTAGGAGCACACCCTAGGTGAGAGTTCATCCACCTAATCCTCAGCATAATCTTCCTAGACTTTATAAGCACATCCTAGGTGAGAGCCCATCCACCTAGTCCTTGGTTTAGACTTCCTACACTTTAGAAGCACACCCTAGGTGAGAGCCCATACACCTAGCTCTCACTGTAGACTTCCTAGATTTTAGGAGCACATCCTAAGTGAGAGTCCATCCACCTAATCCTCAGCATGATTTTCCTAGATTTTAGGAGCACATCCTAGGTGAGAGTCCATCTATCTAATCTATCCACCTAAGCCTCAGTTTAGGCTTCCTAGATTTTAGGAGCACACCCTAGGTGAGAGTTCATCCACCTAATCCTCAGCATAGTCTTCCTAGACTTTATAAGCACACCCTAGGTGAGAATCTATCCACCTAATCTCTGCAGTGTAACCTCCCAAGGTTTTAGGAACATACCTTAGGTAAGAGTTTATTCACCTAATCTTCGAATGCACAATGAAACTAGACACTCGACCCTAATTCACAAACTGATCAAAACACTAGACACCAAGATGCACCGAGACGTGACCCGTGCTTCCTTAATTAAATCAACAGTGAAATCCTCATAATGACTTAACCTACAATAAAACCCAATGTATCGGGATTTGAGCTTGAATATTACACTCAAATCCTCCTG